AGTTGTTATGGCAACTGAAACACTGAAGTTAAAATTATGGATCCCAAATTCTTGCAAATAAAAGTAAATTAATTTCCAAGGTAATTGGAATTTCTTTCAAAAATTATTTATCACAGCATCATCTTTCATAGTTTTAACAGAATTGATTTGCTGGCTTTCTAATGAAATATAATTAATCAAGAAGAAGGTTTTAGTAGCTTATGAATTACTATCATCTTGATATTTAACTTCTAATCATCAGTTACACTTGCTGCACTGTTCCGTTTTTTTTCCATTCATATGGTTTTATTGGACATATATATTTTGCACCTGAGCAATTAGATTGTGATTGCTGTTATGTATTGCTTTATTGTAGCTCATATTTTTGTTTAATCCATTGAGTCTTACTTAAAACATGCCTTTCTTCCTTACTTTGGAAAAATACTTCAATTCTAGTGACATTTGGAAATGCATTTAAACGAGTTCTTCTGATGTGTCTACAAAACCCTGTCCTCAGTAGGGCAACAAGTGTTATTGCAGCAACAGTGTTAATAATAATGAGGCTATATTTTCAAAGTTTCCTAAACTGGCTGCCTGTAAGGTGCTGGGTTCCTTAGGGAATTTGCCCCAGAAATTACAAAGCTCTATGACTGTATTTTTCATGGGTTTTGTGGCTGTACTGGGATACTTCCTCAAATTTCAGGAATTTTACTTAGGCCAGAGAATGGTGGAATCAGTAGTGCAGTTACTGTGCTCTGTGAGAACATGGTTTTCAGTCTGTAGAATCAGAACAGCCGTGATGGAAATGAGTATTCTTTTGCGAGAGGCTGGACTAACAGGCAGAAAGGTTATTTCTGTCTTTTGCTAAAAATCCACAGAGAAGACACTTATAGTTCATCCATTGAAGCAGTGCCTTTGCTGGATATACATATGGTTTGCACATAGCTTCTGTATTATTCTAGTAGAATTTGTATAACAGCAATGTCTGTAATTTTTATATCATTATAGGATGCAGGACTGGGCAATATCTCAAAAGTTTGTCTAATCTGTAGCTCTAATCCTGATGTTTCACTAATTTCTTGCTCCAGAGAGGGGGAATAAACAGCCTTAATAACTTGTATCATTACCATCACAGAGTCACAGAATGGTTGAGGTTGGAAGGGACCTCTTGAGGTCCTCTGGTCCAACCCCCTTGCTCATACAGAGTCACCTAGAGCCAGTCACCCAGGACCGTGTCCAGATGGCTTTTCAATTCTCCAAGGATGAAGACTCCACAATCTCCTTGGGCAGCCTGTGCCAGTGCTTAGTCATCCTCACAGTAAAAAGTATTTCCTGATGTTCAGAAGGAACCTCCTGTGTTTCAGTTTGTGCTCATTGCCTCTGGTTCTGTCACTGGGCATCACAGAAAAGAGCCTGGATCTATCCTCTATGCATGCTCTCTTTAGGTGTTTATAGATGTTCATAAGATCTCCCTGAGCCTTCTCCAGGCTGAACAAGCCCCAGATCTCTCAACCTTTCTTTATAGGAGAGATGCTTCAGTCTCTTCATCATCTTTATGGCACTTTGTTAGACTTTCTCCAGTCTGTCCGTGTCTCTCTTGTTCTGGGGAGCCCAGAACTGGCCACAGTACTCCAGATGGGGCCCTGCCAGTGCTGAGGAGAAAGAATTAGAGAATTGTGTAACTGTATCTTTTAAGTTTATTGATTCTTGTCTTTCGTCTTTTTGCGCCTTCTCCAGGTCTCTTTGAAGACAACTCTTCAGTCTATAGCAAGACTTTTTGAAGACGTTTTGTTTTATTTTTCAGTTTTATCCTTACCAGTGAAAAAAAACTCAATTCTTTCAATCTTTCTTCATCGGTTATGTTTTCTAAGCAGCTTATGAGTTGTCCTTGCCCCTCTTCAAACTCATTTTTAGTGAGTGTGTAAATAAGCATATAACATCCAAAATTAGACACCGTATTCTTTCATAGGCTCACCAGTGCCAAGTCTATCAAAATAATTGCATTCATGTTTTCTATTCTCCATTTCTGAATACAACCTACAACTAGCTTTCTTCTTTTGGAGCAACATTGCATTCTTCTTTTAATTCCCCAGAACTCCCCAAGCCTTTTCTTCGGGGTTTGAAAATTATTCTCCATTTTGGTTTTGCACCTTTGTTTTTGTGTTTTTCCTAGGAATATTTTTTGCAATTGGGGTTGGAGTATTTCATCATATTGATTTTTGACTGTTGCTTCCACCAGTCAGTGTCTGCTCCCTTCCTTCTGCGTTATCCACAAAATTTTGTGTGTACGTGTGTGTTATTTGACCACAGGGGTGTTAATGAAGATACTGACTGTGAACCCATCATATCTTTGTGATACACATCTCAAAATATTTATCTGTTTGATAACTACTTTTGAAAATGGGTTTTTCTAATTGGATGTGTACTCCTGTTCCTCATTACAATGACTTTATCTACACTGATGTTTTCCTTTTTAAGTTGAGACAGTGTCAGCTAGAAATGCGTAACAGTTTTAACAAAGGTCAAATATGCTAAATGTTCTCCTTTCCTTTTTTCCACTAAGCTGGTTACCCTGTGAAAGAAGGAAATTACATTAGTTTGACATGGTTTGGTTTTGACAAATCCGTGGTGACTGTTTGTTATCATTTTAATTATCTCCAAGGTGCTTATAAGAGGATAGCTTAATAATTTATTTGGTATCTTTGTGGATATCAAAATTAATTCTGTAACTCTCTAGGCTCTGTTTTGTTGATTTATATATATGCTTATATATACATACATATGTACACATATGTATGTGTACATAGGTGAAATGTTTCCCTTTCCATAGTCATCTGGAGTCACTCTCATCGTCTGTGAGGTCTCAGAGATAATTATTAATAGTTCTGAGATTTTGTTTTATATTTTTAGGATAATTTCATTGTTCTTTTCTGCATCGAACTCAACCAACCATCTCCTTCCTTTTTTTCCTGACTAATCTGCCTGAGATAGGTAACATGAATGAAGAAAATTTCATCTGTTACATAGAAAATACTTTTTTTGAGGCAAGAGTGAAGCTTTGACAGGACTTGTTGCACTGCACTTCAACATATTTGTTGATAAATGAGTTAATAATAAAAACGTAACCAATTTGTCAAGTTTTGTGCATCTAAAGAAGCATTCGCTGAGTAAGGTAGCTGTGTAAGCACATGATAAAGTTTTCCCTATGTTAATACTTTATATGGAGAAAAAAAGATGTTTTTTTTTTAAAAAAAAGAGGTACAGATATTTAGAATGCAAAAGATACTTTGTGCCTGTCAGTAAAGCCAGTCATATTGAAGCATGCATTATGGAAACAAAAAAACCATGAGACCACCTAAGTAGTCGCTTTATTGAATATGTAACTGCAAGTGAATAAGGTTATATGCATGACAGCAGCTCTCAGGATCCAGCTGAACCAGAAAAAAGAATCAAACTTATAGGTGTCAATGAGAGAAGTGGACCACACACCTACCTATGTGCACATACAGCCAGTGGGCTGAGCCACATTTTTTAGTTTTTATGTATTGTTTCTACTTCTGAGCCTTGGGTACATTGAAAAGGAAAGAAAGTTAGATGATCCAAATCCATTAATATCAGAGCCTGACTGAGAAAAGACATACAAACTAAATGCACGTTTGTTTTTAAGTGCACTTCTGGTGGTGAAGTTTCCTGTGAGCATGGATGGTTTGGTCATTATAACTTGGGCACTATGGGCAGTAATCTGTAGGTACCTGCGTCTCTGTGCTGTGGCTGAGAAGCAAAGACACCAGAAAGGAAAAGGGGAAATCATTGTACATCTTTAGTCTCTGCATCTATTTTTCAGCCTCTTTGGTAGACTCCAAAGCTCTACATCCATCTACCAGGGAGGAAGCTTAGTGTGATGACATTGCCCCTGTGCTGCAGAGAATTCACCGTCTCCTCACTTCTGGTCCACCCTAGTTCCACTTTGAACCTGGTACTTAGGACAAGAGAAATGACTGTGTGCAGCAGAATGCTTTTAGCGAAACTGTACCATTCATGTGAACAAAACTGAGGGCAAAACAAAAGGAATGAATTAGTTTGGAGAATGCTACTAAACCTTGGAATGCAAACTCTGTGCAGTATGAACTGCACAGAAATTGTTGGCTTCAAAATCAACCTTAAATTCTTTGGCAAGTAAGCCACATAAGCCTGATGCAAACCACAAATGCATTTTGACTTTTGCCCAGATAGTCTTTATCCTTTCTAATTTGTTGCTGGATGTCATACTTACCCGTCTTGTTTTGGAAATAAATATTCTGACTTTGAAAATTTTGGCTGCTTTCAGAGTGCAGCTTGGTTTTTAGAGCAATGAGATTTCAATTTTCTTTTTTTTTTTCAAAAAGAAATTTAGTTTTTGGCTGTTTTTTGTTATGCATTGGACTATCTGAAACGAAGAGGAGTTCCTCAGCACAATGTGTAGATTCAGTGTATTCCTTAGAAATGAATACAATTTCATGATACTGCTGTGAGTTTAAACAATTGCAGATTGCTATCTGAAATCTGTAGAAGTTAAAAAAAAAAAGGCAACAACAACTGAAGAAGTTGCACCATAATCATAAGGAATGAGTGACAGAGCTGAAAATTAAACGTGGGTTCTGCTCCCTGATCTGAGCTCCATGTCAAAATCTCAGAGCTCTGTATGTTTCATATAACAAGATAATAGACAAAAATGTTAGGTTCCAAATTAGAAAAGGATTTCCAAATATTTCCAATTAAATTTCTGGATAGTTTGCTGGCAGAAAAAAGATAATCTCTAATCTATGAGCCATATTTTTTCATTGTAAAATTTCATAGACAATTGGCAAATGTTTTCTGACTAAACATGTTTTATAGAGAGAGAAATAAAAGCAGAAGAAAAATTAACCAGGGACATTCTAGTAGGGAACCATGACCAAAGAAAAAGATAGAACTGAAAACCGGAATTTCAGATGTGCGGTGTTTATTTCCAGTAAGATTTTACTTTTGATCTTTTTGTTTAGAGTCTTTGGACATATTAGCTACCGTTCGGACTGGGAACTGGTGAAGGTGGACTTCAGACCATCCTTCCCCAGGGAGTGCACTGATGATGACTATGAATCTTGGGAGCTCACAAATCTACAGGTATTCATGGTCTTACGTTTACTGCCACAACTTTTCCATAGCTTTCAGATTCCCGTAGAACTGTGTGCTAGGAAAACGTTTTCAAATAGAATTTGGATGCTGCATCCCTAGCTTTGATCTCCCTATGTTGGTATTTGCTGATTTTACAATAGTTTAAAATGGGGGAGAGTTTTGTGTTCCCTGTGATTGTGTGATCTGTGTCCTGGAAAAGGCGGAAGGGTGTCTGGTGGTCAGCCATAATAATAGGTGGTCCTGCTGGATTATGAAGCATATACCATAAACTAAAGTGTGTAATATTGACTGAAGCAATTCCAACATGCAGTCATATGTTCTGCCAACTTCCTGACCGCATGCTGTACTCGTATATAAATCGCCATAAGTAGAGTCCGTTCCAGAAGTAATTTAGGATCTCAGTGGACCGATAATGTAATGCAGTCCAGTTGTTTTGGGCGATACCATTTCTGCAGTAATGCATTAAGGCTGTGCTAATCCTAGTGCTCTGGCCAAATCCAATTTGGGGAAGATACATTCTCTCTATAATCTATTGATTAGAGAGACCTATGTGAGAGGTTTTTAACATTAAATGGAATATGTCATATTTGTTCATAATCATTCTGATTATTCTGTTTGTGCTTCTTCCAGTACATTTGTTCTCTCACTCTCTGCAGGTTTTTTTTTTTTCTGCTTACTACTCCATGTTATTTCAGCTCTCCAGCTCTCGTTTGCTAGTTCTCATGCCTAATTTTACACTTCTTTTTTGGGAATGCTGTGTATTTTCTAAGAATATTACACAGGTCTGAGCCTAAAGAGTAACAGTGTCTTGGGATATTGGTATCAAAATGCCTTTCAGAAATTAGAAACTACTAAAATAACTTTGAGAGGGTACTTGCTGCTGCCCAGTTACCAGTGAAGTGTGTTCAGGTAGTCTTCATTCCACCTGTGTCCATATACCTGGTGCTTCCTGTCAACTGCCAACACGAGACATGGTGATTTAGGTAGAACTTCAGCCATCTACATCCATACTGAATTTTTAAATGACCAGTTGTAGGGTTGTGCCTAGATTGTGCTCACATTAAACATGAGTTAAATTGCACTTGAAATTCCATGTACAACTTTGGATTTGTGCCCCGAAATATAGCATATGCTATAGTTCTGTAATGGCCTGTTAGTGGACAGTGGACATTTTGAGTATCAGAGAGTTGAGACTTGATACAAGTTTATAGTCTTGGAGCAAGACCAGCCTTTCTCTTGACAACATAAGGTCACATCTGTGTGGTGCGAGTTGTGATGTGCAGTAACTGCAGTGCTTTGATGTTCAGGGTGATCGTTGCATCATGGGGCAGAAGAGGAGCTTTCGGAAGAGGAAGATTTCATCATGGTGCATTAAGGGTAGAAGTTTCACATCAGCTCTCACATCCAAAGTTTGTGAATGTGTGAATTCTGATTTCTTATGGTGAGTCTGTCTTTGGACCTTTTGATTTATTGCTAGTAAATAGTTACTTAGAGTTTGAGATGGGTTTATTTCCCTCCTTTTGCCCCTCTCTTTGCATAGCTGTGTATAAACAAATAGAAAACCTGTTATTTGGATAGCAAGTTGCTTTTGCATTTGCCTTTGTTTAAAAACATCGCCATGTTTTAAGTATTTGTTTCACCTGACTGAACAAATCCTGATGGTTTTTTTCTATTGATCAAGACTTGAAAAATGACCATTGCATTGATTTATAAGGCAAGCAAACCCTTTCTATTTGCAAATTAAGAAAAAAAAAAAAAACAACAACAAACAACCCAGAAGAAATGTGTTGGTCTGAGTGGCAAAGGAAACCTTTTAAAAATCTAAGCTACCAAGAGAGTTAATTTTGCAGAACTGACAAAGTAATTACAACCAGTTTTTCCCTCAGGTATACACAACTCCCATTGAAATTAGACTTAGAACAGAAGTGGCTTTATTGGCTTGTATGTTCAGCTGGTAGAATAATATTTTTAAAATCTTTTTACTCTTAGAAAAGTAGTTTCATCCACCCCAAATTAGACTGGTGAATGAAGCAGGGATAGTAACATACTTGGTATTGCTGTTTTTCAGTGATTACGGCTTTGAACGCTCTGCACTTCTGAAGTCAGAGTCTAGCAAATGCTTTGCTGACTTTTGGTTTAACCCAGAAGCACCTCCTGAAGACTGCGTGCTGGGGCAGGCCTACACCAGCAGCACTGGGTAAGCTGATTTTGAGTTCACCTGGCTTGGCAGAGGCTTCCAGAGAGGAGAACATTCTGACCAAGGGCCACAAAAGTGGTTTGAAGGAAATATAAGTAAGGCAAACTGTAAAACCTAGGAAATGAAAGGTACTGACTCAGGCTTGGAGAACGTGCAGAACCTTCCTACACATTCTGATGTGTAGGACTGACGTGTAAGACTGATGAAAGATACTACTTTACATGTTTACAGGAGTTCAAAAACTAATCCATTTGAGAAGAGGGGGAGCTGTCTTGCTCCCAGTATTTTTTTTATGTTTTTTTTGGTAATGTTTTATAGCCATTGTTAGAGTTCAAAACCTAATCCGTTTGAGAAGAGGAGGAGCTGTCTTGCTCCCGGTATTTTTTTCATGGTTTTTTTTGGTAATGTTTTATAGCCATTGTTACACTTCTGACAGGAATGTCCATTCAGAGCCTTTTTGGTTTCGCCTATTGCTTGGGTTCAGACCAATTTTCATTTTGAATCCAATTAATTACTCTGAGTCGTCAGTAACATTTCACAAAATGTCCCAGTCTCTTACTTCCGTAGCAGTAAGGAGTTCTGTGGAGAACAGATTCTTTTCCTGACCATATGGGACACTCAGAATCAAAAGAAAGCTTTAGTAATTGTAAACAATACTGCATAGAATATACACTACAATGTAGCCTGACGTCTGTGCTGAGAATAACTTGCAGCTGGCATCTATTCTGGCTTATCATAACATCATCTCTGTCAGTTGTGGAGACGTGAACCAAATGATGAAATGTCAAATCTGGCAATAGAATCATGGTCTCTGCGTATATTTGCCTTACTGAGGAAAATGATGCCTTTTGGGTTGCGGTTGACAGCTGTGATATACAGAATAGGAATTCAAAAGAGTGAAACCTGACTCAGATTTTAAAGGATGTTTAAAAATAACATACCTAAGTGAAACTGATCTGTAAATAATTACTGTACACATCCAAGTATTTCAGTATTAGTTCTTTAATGGTGTTAGACTTTTTACTCTTTTACACTGTTATGTTGAATAGATGCTTTAAGCATTCTAAGAAATGCACAGATTTGAGAGAGCAATTTAGCAATCAGTTCTGGGTTAATGCTGAAGCTGCTTGGTCTAATTTCTTCCTGGTCTTTGGGGTTTGAACCAAGACCTCTAGAGCATTGAAGACTGTTGAATGCTAGGAAAGG